TGCTGGTGCAATAAGCTGCACGCTGTACATCCAATGGATGATGATCTGATTAGCCGACTATCAAAATAATGGTTTGTGGCAGCCCTACTTCATACAATAACATATTAAACTTAACGCTGAAACTAATCTAATGAGGCCCTTTTAAAAGGACAACACGCTTGTAGACCACTGCAGCTGGCGTGCAGACTGCACAGACGACGTTCAGAGAGCTGCAGTCTGTGCATCAAAAGAAGAACTGACACGGGCTACTTTACACCACCAGTATAGATGTTTCAGCTGTGACTTAACAGACACATGTGAAATGCGTCACTCTATACTTAGTATTGTTACTATTGATAACAGCATTTAAGCGAAGGCGTTTGCCCACTTACATACTTAGAAAGGCCTTAAAATGCTTACTTCCCACAGAGCTGCAAATAACATTCAGGCACAAAAGTAAGTTTGAAAAGTCAGCTGCCACCCTGATCCTTTAAATCAGCTTTTCATGATGAATTAAAGAACTCATAGACATAATGTTATGTTATTATTTTGAGTTAATTTAGCTGATGAAACTTTTCTAACTACTTTTGGGGTATTTTTAAGATATTAAAGTGTGTGTGTGGTTTCAGTCAGGTGTGTGCAGAAGCTCTGCTGAAGACCCTGGAGTTGATGAGCAAACTGAGACAGCATGTGAAGGACATGGAGACCAGCTTCTACAGGATGCTGCAGGTATTACATACAGGCTGACGTTATTTACCTTCTGTACGTTCTCACTGACTGCATGTTTTTAGTGCATGCAGGGTTTTGTGTTATTCTCTCTGTTTTATCCCTCAGGACCAGAGGATTGTGACGCCGCTGTCTCTGGCCCTCACGTCCCACCACAGAGACCGTGTGCAGACCGGTCTCTCTCTGCTGTTTGAAGCCACTCCCCTCCCAGACTTCCCCTCGTTCGTGTGAGTCTCATGATGCAAACTACACATTTTTATCCAGAAATATTTAATAGTTCTGTGATTCGTGGACAACATCTCTTTGTTTTTTCTCAAGTCTGGGAGAAAGCATCGCCGCCAACAACGCTTATCGCCAGCGAGAGGCCGAGCTGTCTGTGAAGCGTGTGGCAGTGCAGGAAGTCCCGCCTCTCAGGACAAACGCCAGCACGCTGGACTCTTCCAGTGTTTCCAGCAAAAGTGTCCACAGTCTGGTGGAGAAGATTCAGACTGGGCTGGAGGTAGAGTGTGCAAGAGTGTTTCTCTGGGACTTTTGAAACGTGAACATTTCCATGGGGGAAGCAAACTTTGAAAAACAGCTGTGATCACAAGATGAAGCATTTTCTTCTTTCGTTCAAACAGATTTGATCTTCAGGTTATTTGCTTCTACGGGTGAATTTTTATTAAAACCGTTAAAGTTTTAAGACTTAAAAAGATGAAAAAGTTTATAAGTTTTACAATAAGACTTAGACTTAGAGCTTTTTATTGTCATTGCGCAGTTTCTTGCACAGCGAAATTGGGTAGCTGAAGTAAGAAGAAGAGAAACCAATATACAACGAAGGCGGAAAATAAATAAATAATTAAATAAATAGAATAAAATAAAAAATAGTGTATATGTATACATATGTGAGTGGAACTATATACATGGTGTATACATGGAAACATTGAAACAGACTGGGACCAAAATAATTGCACGTGAGCCAAAAATATTGCACATAACATGGAAAGACTGAGATATTGCACATAGATGATCAACAGCAGTGTCAGGGTGGATGTGTTGGGGAAGTCTTTACACTGTCTTAGTTTGCATTGAGAGTTCTGACAGCCCACGGGATAAACGCCTTCAGATCGACTCCTGGAAACTGTGGGATGGTTGGGTTGGTTAGTCTCTTTCTTTGTTTGTTGTTGTTGTTGTCATCAGATGCTTTACAGACTACACGTGTACAAACTAGATTACAGATGCTAGTCAAGGATCGTGGCGCACAGCCTGTATCGTGGCCTCTCGTTGGCTCACAGCGTGAAGTCCTGCGTTCATTAGTCATACACGATGAGGATCAGTCAGATCAACACAACCAAAAGGGGGAAGACGCCATCTTTTGGTGCACTTTAACAAATACAAATTAAATTTCATCCTCAAATTAACTATTAGGTAATGTAAATTATTCAAGAACACCACCAGGCTAGCAGTGA